GGCCCCCAAATAACCACATCCACAAACTGTTTGTTCTTTCGGAGAATATTTGCCTGCTGGGTGCTTTTGAAAAAAATGTATAACTTTTGAAGGAAGGTTGGTGGGGAATATACTAATAAGGGTGTTTTAAGGGATTTCATGTCTTCAATAGTTTTAATGGGCATTTTTCCCCCCCCCCCCTCCCCCCTCTCACTGAAGGGTTAATATGCGACTACACCCAGTTTCCTTGTTTTTAGTGGAGTCTGCTAGGAACAATTTTTGGCTTGTATGTCATGTGCCCTAATTTCAAAACCACTTTAAGTGGGCTCCCCTTTCACTGAATTTCGTTTAACTTTTTTAAACTAACCCAGACCGATGAAAACTATACTCACCGCTCACAGGGTGCTGGCAGTTTTTACCGTCTCCATTGAAATGCTGTTGACATGAACAGCTGTAGGACCCAATGGTGTTCGTACATGAAGCGAACTTGTGACAGCTGTGTAAACCGCTGGTGCATTCATCAACATCTACAATCGAATGGAGATTCAGGGCGCTGATGTATCAAACATTTTTGGCGTTTTCAAGGCTTCATGTAATGGCTGGTTTTAGTATTTAGATGCATTGTGTCGATTTTTAAGAGCATTTTATAGTGGAAGGACATTAAAAACATTCACTTTTCGGCATTCATAAAAAAAAAGCTATTAGATGCTTATTGGAAACTAAGTCCATCGATTGATGCCGCATATAAACAGATGGAGGATAGTGGGTTTAAAACCAGATAAACTTCAGACATGTTTCACAGGACGACACAGTATATGCAGGCTTTTGAACTTCTTTTTACATAGAACTCATTTCTAACAGTAAATGAGTTCTTTGCATAGCTCTCTCAATAATAAATTTCAATGCTAAGATACAAGAATATCAATCAATCGACATTAAGATCTTTGAAACAGTACTACTAAAGTGTAGGTTTTATGTAGCTCTGCTCAGGGCTCAGCAATTGCTGTACAATGGCTCATTTTTAAAACAAGCAAACGTACCATTGCAAGTCCTCCCGTCTCCTGTGTATCCTGCTTTACACGCGCATGCGTACGATCCCACAGTATTGGTACAGACCGCATTGGCGTCACGACAGCTGTGATCGTTGGTAGAACACTCGTCGACATCTGAGAACATAAAATTACTCGAAATATAAGAAATAGTTTAGTTTATTTGTACTTTTACACTATCAATCGCGAGATAAAATCAATACAAACATAACGATTGCGGAGAGAGAGATATTTCCTACTATCAACATTGCAGTATTCAATATTTTTTGAAATGTTTAAATTTGTTTTCGATAACTCCAAGAAGAAGTAAAAAACTTGATTTTAAAAGCTATATCTCACATAATACTACAAGTTTGAACGTTCAGTGAGAATGTGCAAACACGTTCAGAACCGTAAAGACGTACCAAGTACAAACATGTACAAAGTTTCAAGAAAAGAGCTTAAGCCATAAGTTTGTGGATTTGTAATTCAACTAATCACCTCTTTGGAGAAGATTCTTGGACTGCTCAGTTACGGATTGATTCAAGCGCTGATTGAAATTCTGAATTGGCCTCCTTGAATTACAGTACCCGAGAAAAGTGACACAGCTTGTTGACTTTGCCTAGCTCATGTCCGTTTTGTTTTGACCAAAAGGCCATTCGTGACGTCTTTTATAATGCTGTAGTCGTGATTTTTCTCTTCGAATACCTTTCAAATCTGGCAACCACATCATACCAAGAACTCAGGGGAAGGGGGAGGGGGGGGGGGGGCTTATAATCTTCGTTGTTTTCTTATTCGCTGATGCATGATAAATTCGCTTGGGGAATTTCTTCTAAAAACACTCGACTCGCCTTTTATCATTAAAAATTCCTTAAATAGAGCAATATTCTGCTCAGTTTTCTTTCTAGTGTTTTCCTTTTCTTGTCCTTCGGGAAATTCTTCGAGTGAGACTTAATCTGTGAACCTTGAAGTGCCCGATCGAAGACGACGTAACTATTTTAGTGAAAGCGGACAGTGAAAGGCGCGAAAACCGATACGATGTTTTAATAGTGAAGATTTTCGTCTGCGGCCTGTGATTGGTTATACGATAATTCTTACTTGTGAGAAAAATTGTCCCACCAGTCAAATTGCCAGTAATTTTTAACAGATAATATTTACCGGTCATATTACCTTATGGTAAATCTCATTACATAAATACTAATTACAGATACTTGATCTGTCGTAGAATAAAGATGATGTGAACTGCGGCAATACAAATAAAAATAAAGATATGATCGTCGCAGTGCATGGCAATTGCAATTTAATCAATTGCAAATTAACAACGACATGATCGTGGCAATGGCTATTGCAATTGAAGCAGTTCACATCATATTCTTTTCATTCTATGATTCATTCCGTTCACGGAATAATCAGCAAAAGTAAGTGTTTTTAAATTTATCCTCATTCATGAGAGCTCGGCGTTTACAAGAAGTATACTGCCGTTTTGAAATCAGGAGAACACTTCGAGCAGCCAAAGATGAAAGACACTTGCTCATTTGTTTATATAACGACTGTTCATCATAGTCCGATAGTCTTTTCCTGAGACCCCATCATAGTTGGATTCATGGAGAAATTTTTGAGATTTAAAACCCAAAATGGAAGAAGGAAATTTGTTTTCTTTCGAAGTCCTTGTTGTTATCATGAAAAACTTGTATCCGTGTTCATTAAAATGCCTGAATAGTGGAGCTGTCATGGCTTGCGTGTGGTTGCCACCGTTTTTGTTCTTTATTTTCTACTTTAGTGTAGTCTGTTATAAGTAGCTTGTTTAGTTTCTCTGGCTCATTTTCCTCGATTTTGTTGACAGTTTTTTTTCTCTTAGCACCGCATTTTCAATACATTTAGCCAGAAAGACGTTCTTTTCATGTGTTTGAGTTTTTGGAATTTTTGTTAACGTAGTCTATTGTTGTTTTGCGTACATGAAATCAAATCGTTGTTTGCTGAAAACCATGGCCATTTTCTTAAATTTTGTTTTTAAAACAGCTCTAATCTGATTGGTTCTTGGTGGTTTCTTTTTTGTTTTCAACCAATCAGAAACCGTTTGTAATCTGCACTCGTGTTGCAAATTTGCACTCGTGTAACAGAAGAACTGCACTCCTTTCTCTACAGCCAATCAGAATTCAGTAATTTTTTTTGTGTGTTTATTATTAGGCCTAAAAAAGATGATCGTAGGTTTGAACAATCAGCATCGTTCCACGTATCCGATGATATTAACTGGCTGCTTGGCTCCGCTTTTTTATTTGCTTACTACATACAGTCAATACTAAAATTAATTTAAACTTCTGCTAAACCAAAACTTTAACTGTAAAAAGCGAGGAGAGCACAAAAGACTCTCGTATTGCTGTCGTTGCTGTTCAATCTAAAAACAAACATATCATACAAACGAAATTAAACTCAAACGGCTAACCAGTGCATGTGAATCCATCCCCTGTGAATCCTGCTGTACATGCGCATGCGTAAGATCCAACAGTATTATTACACACCGCATTAACGTCGCAGCTATGAGAGTTGGTAGAGCACTCGTCGATATCTGGCGAAAAAAGTGAGGAAGCCTTTTTGTTTAGTGATGCAACAAACTCTGGATCAATAACTAAAGGTCATTTACTTACATTTTCTCNACCAGTGCATGTGAATCCATCCCCTGTGAATCCTGCTGTACATGCGCATGCGTAAGATCCAACAGTATTATTACACACCGCATTAACGTCACAGCTATGAGAGTTGGTAGAGCACTCGTCGATATCTGGCGAAAAAAGTGAGGAAGCCTTTTTGTTTAGTGATGCAACAAACTCTGGATCAATAACTAAAGGTCATTTACTTACATTTTCTCTATGCGTTAACCCTGCTTAACTACTATAGGTAATCCGATTTTTCATGCCTTTCTTACATATAAACGGAGGGGGAAACATTGAACTACACGTAATAAACACAATTGGAAAGAAAAGAATCTCAAAAGGCGAGAACGTCTTAAGATAGCTTATAGGTGAGACTTTCTCTTAGCTCTATAGCAGAACGAGCTATAGTAAGAGGGAGTATTCGAGGGAGAAAATTTCCCTCCTGAAATGCATAACGATTCAATGCGAATTTTTAATTAATTATAACAGCAAAGTACCCTGTTTGCTCAGTTGGCATACTAAAGATCAATTTCGTTAAGATATGTTTGTCGGACGTGCGTTTCAGTTTGGGTTTTACGGAAAAAACCTTGAACGTCCCGAAAATCTACCTTTGATTTGATGTTAAGCCCAAATAATGCTAAATATGCTTTAAAATACGCATTTAAAAATCAAATAGAATAATGAAACAGAAAAGAAGACAGGAGAGAAAGGGTTAGATCAGAGCCTGGTCACCCAATCAGTTTCTAACCGGCTGGGCTTGACAATTGTACAAGACCGAGTTTAGTGAAATTTGGCGAGATATGTAATTCTAGTTTTACTTTAATTATTATTTCGAACCATTGATTAAAAGTTATATGTCCATCGTTTTCTACATGTTTAAATGTAAAGATCGAATATAGAAAATACACGCACGTACATCGTTTTGGAAGCGTTTTTTTTCTTTTACAACACCGCAACAGCTTACCTGAGCATGTTTTTTCATCGCCTGTGAATCCTGCTTTACATGCGCATGCGTACGATCCAACAGTATTGCTGCAAACCGCATTAACGTCACAGCTGTGAGAGTTGGTAGAACACTCGTCGATATCTGCATGAGAATCGTAAGTTACGTAAAGCGTTAGAATAACTAATATTAAATCTACCTGCTCAAATACCTTTGCAAGGTTTTCCATCTCCTGTGTACCCAGCATTACACGAGCATTTGTATGAACCCACTGTATTCTGGCAAACGGAATTGACGTCACAGGAATGGGAACCAGTGGTACATTCATCCAAGTCTAAAAAGTAAGCACACAGAGGCTTCTTGTCAAACAACATGACTTTTTTAGTTAATGAAGCTTGTTTAAAACGACTATACTGTGGTGGACCTGGGTAATTGAAGTACACTGGCAAGGCAAGGCAAAAGAAATGTGTGAAAAAAGGAACTTCCAAAAAGGGTCGTAAGCGTGCCCTGAGTTAAGGTATATACTTAATATATTCGTTAATAATTTGCAAAGAGGTGTTTAGAAAACCAAGGTAAAAAGTAGGCGGAGGTTAGCGCGACTTTTCCCGTGGTTCCAATGTATGAACGCTTTCTCGTTCTTCTTTTGATTACGCCGATTTCAG